ACCTCGGGAGATTTAATTCACCATAGACCGCTCCCGGATGGCCACATGAAGGTATCGGTTGATGTTGTTTTAGATATGAATGCATTGCTACCGGTACCTGACATTGTTGCGGAGACCACATTGCTGCGAGATGCAGTAGGATCTTTTGTGGCATGGCCATCAGACCTCATCTGCATAGATGATCAGGTATGTTGAAAACCATTATGAATCTTTAAGTATTCAACTGACAGTTCTGACCTGAATTTTATACATGGTAATTTTAGACTCCTGCAAAACCCGCATCTAAGGATAAAGGGATTTTGCAGCGCGGCGAGTCTATTGCATCGCAAAGACAGGTACTTTTAAAGTGTTTCATTTATGATCGGAATAAAAAACTGCATAACTTTGTATCTTACATAATTCTATATGATTTTTAAGGTACCTTCTCAAGATCAGTCACAGCAGGTGAGCCAGAAAGTTAGTAGGGTTCCACCTAAGAAGAAGGTTCCTGTCCGTAAATTTGTGCCTAGGTATCGACAGTGTCTGGAGACACTAGTTGGCACATCAGATTTGATGAATGATGGAATTCGTCAAATCGATGTGGATGAAATTGTCTTTGGTTTTCCATGTACCGAAACAATTGGATTAGAGGACATGGAACAAATCTTTCATCATCGAGAGTTAGGCATCAGTGTGATGCACTCGTACATCCGGTAACCCGATCAATATATTATTTAATTGGTTGAACATTTTTTTTAAACATTTAATTGAAATAGTCTAATATTAATTATGTTTTTATTTAAGGATGTTATTTGACAAATTGATGCGCGAGAATCAATTGTCAAATAGATTTCATTTCGTGTCTTCCTCCCGTGTCAGCGGAGCAACAATTTCTAGGGAACCTGATTCAGTAAGAGAACACTTGATCGAAAGATTCATGACAACTGCCAGTACAGAGAGCTTGTATCTTTTGCCTTATAATAAAGGGTTAGATTTTCATTCTAAGCTCCTTTTAATATTTGTATTTTTTACATTAAAATTCGCTTCTAAATTGTTGCTTTAATTTATAGATGTCACTGGTTGTTGCTTGCAATCAATCCCATAAAAGAAGTGGTCTATTACCTGAATTCGGTTGACGGTGATTGGACAAATTATCCGGAAATGAAGCTATTGATTGATACGTAAGTGACATTATTCTAAATATTCGTTTGTGTTTATATATTTAATTATTTCAATGTCATTGTTCTAAATAAATATTTTAATTTTGTCATCAGTTCAATACAAGTATTCCGATGTCAAAGGGAAGCACGAGTACCACGGTCTAAATCAAACAACATTAATTGGATCAAAGTGCAGGTATATAAATTTCAACAATTTTGCTTATAATATTTATGCTACTTGATAAATCAATAGATGTGTATAATCTTATTTGTTTTTCTATGTAGTGCCCTCAACAACAAAACGGCATAGATTGCGGATACTTCGTTTTGAAGTTTATCAAAGAAATCATTCAAATGAATGAAATCGAGATTCCAATCACGGTATGGATTTATACTTTGTTTTATTACTTATCGGATTTTGCATATAATTTATTACATTAAACTAAATCATGCATATATTTTGTTTTGTAATGTAGTATTTTGATCAATACAATTGTCCATATTACTCGCCACGTCAATTGGAAGAACTCAAAGAGGAGTTGTGCCAATATTTTATTGAGCTAAGAATCTTATAATAAGGTACGAATACATTGTTGTGTGAAAATTGGTTAATTATGAATATATTGTTTTGTGTATACAACACTGACCGTGTTATTATGTTCATATTGCAGGATCAGGACCTTGGATATATATGTAGATTAGGATTGATTTACTTAGTGTTATATAGCTGATTTCTTAGGGTGTATTTTGTTACGTTTAAAAACATGTTAATATTGAATTACCATGGTGTATATATATTTTGGATATGAATTGATTATAATGGTATTTGTATATATATATATAATATTTGGTATTTGAATTACATTTGGTATTTGGATTAAAACTAATATATATTGGTATTTCTAGATTAGATTGTAAAATACCGGTTTAAGAATTACAGGTTTGCTGCAAAAAAATGCAGGTTTAGAAATTTTTTAAATTTTAGATTTTTCAGTAGAAAACCTATGAAAGCGCTTTTAAGAAAAAAGCGCTCTCGTAGGCCTACCTATGAAAGCGCTTTTTGATTAAAAGCGCTTTCATAAGTAGGCCTACGAGAGCGCTTTTTTCTGAACAAAAAGCGCTCTTATAGGCCTACTTTAGATTGCCTGACACGCATTCTGAATACACCTATGAAAGCGCTTTTTCAGAAAAAAGCGCTCTCGTAGGCCTACCTATGAAAGCGCTTTTTACCAAAAAGCGCTTTCATAGGTAGGCCTACGAGAGCGCTTTTTTCTGAACAAAAAGCGCTGCTAAAACCTTTAGCAGCGCCACCTACGAGAGCGCTTTTAAAGCCCAAAAAAAGCGCTTTCGTAGGTTATTTCTGGCATAGTGACTAGTTAATCTCATTGTAGTTGGTACGACCCATTCCCTAGTAAACAGTGGCCTTGGTTCTAAAAGAAACAAATCCATACACCAATTTCGTGTTTCGAGCTCTATGGCACATACTTTCACACGAGCCTCTTCTTTGAGGGGATAACAAAAAATAATCGATCTTCGAAATGTTTCATGCCACGGAAAATTATTCAAAGTAATGAGTAACTTGTGCTAGTAAAATCATACCTTAGCCTTGAACATGATTTATCATACTCCGTAATATCCTAAAATGATGGAAGAAAAGTGACAAATATGGCTTTCCTCCCCAATAGTCACACCAATATTGAAAGACTTTAATATATGTCCAACTCACAAGTTCAGTTGCGAGGGAGCAATCATCAAATGGTTCATGACTTCTATTTTAAAACTATTTGAGGGTAAGTGGAAACCTATAATTGAAAAGTGCACTCTTAAAAATGAATAACACACTCGTTGTATTCACTGCAAATCCTTTTATCTTTCTTAAGGATCAATACACCCCAGTCAGAAGAAGGATCCACGTAAAGGAAAGCTCTTTTGAGACTACCTTCGCGAGAAAAGATAGAAAAAACTACTCAAATTATAAGATCTACCCAAGAGACAGAAGTATCCTCTTCCAATTTTTAACTCATGGTGGACACCACTTCCATCGATTGAGAAAATAATGTGTTGTAGAAATACAAATGACAAAAAAGAACAAAGATAATATCCAAAGAAACTGTATAATTGATTTCACAAAGATCACACAATGTCTTACCAAAAGAAAGATGGTAAACATTATCAACGTTCCAGATTTCCTAAAAAAACTTAAGTACTCTAGTTTCCAAAGGTCATTATGATAAAGCATATAAAAAGACATAAAAAGCATGAAACACATTTAAGGCTCGAGTTTCCAATGACAATTATGTCACATATTGACTTTCCATTCAACCCGGGCTGCGGGCGATAAGAAAAGACAAACGCAACAAAGCCATCGCTCTATAGAGCAGAGGTAAGGGCTTGAAGGTTCAATAGTCGCGACCAAAGAATACATTGATTCATCAAATCACTCGCGGAGCAGGTATGCTATTTTGGATTAAAGTACAGGTGATCCAAATTCAAGATCTTTCCAACAAATTCCCGCATCTTACATCCAAAAATTGGCAAACTATTTAACTGTTCTACTATATAAGAAGACATCACGCAATTTTTAAAGTACAACTTAAGTTTAATTTTCATTCACTCATCTTACTCTTGTATTAATTTGAAGGTTGAAATATTATCTTTACAAATCTACATCTCTTCCATCATACCGAAAACTCAAATTTACCGTTGCAATCCACAACCATAAATCTTCAATCAATTTTAATTCTCTCCCTGAACAATATATATTCAATTGCAATATATATATATATATATATATATATATATATATATATAATACAGATTTTTTCTTAATAGGTGTATAACTTTAAAAAAAACTTTTATTTTAATATGGTACTACGAATAATTTGGGAATTGATTGAGTGACCTAATTATTTGATAAATTTTAATAAATTAAAAGATGTATGAATAATTAAAATAAATTTCGAGAAATAAAAATAAAGTCATCAAAATTATCAAATAATAAAGTTATTATTTGAATAGTTTAGGGTAATTTTTTAAAACAGAGTTATAAAATATAAATAAAAAGAGCAGCATTACTCGGTAGTAGTAGGAGTAGTGTAGTAGTGTAGTATTGAGTGATGATGGCGCGGCGCCGAATACTGAGTGAGTATCCAATAAAATTGCATGTAATGGAAAAGCATGCACGCGACATCTGGAAATACAACAAATGTAACCGACTAAAAACATTACAGTTTTCAAGAAACCAATTGTAATACTAATAGGTGTTTTCATGCATGCCAATTACCTCCACTACACACGTTACTTGTATTGACACGCCCCCTTTTTCCTTCTCTCTACAATTAACAACAAGTCATCGATGAATCCTCACTGTCCATATTTTTTTTACAAGCACAGTTTCTAGTATCGAGTCTAGTCTAGTATTAAATCAAGGGTCATAAAATGATTGTCCACGTCTCTACACACATTTAAGTCATGCATGGTATTCAAAATTCCTAAACTACCACTATAGTACTAGTATGTTCTTATCCAATAACATCACTATGTGTAACCATGCATGACCCCACTTTTTCTACCCAATCTCCACATCTCATCTCTCATCACTCCAACCAACACGTACCCACCCTACATTTCCAAGTGTCCCTTTCCCCTTCTTTCTTCCTTCATGTTGCCTCTTTCTCATAGGTCACTTTTCATAACCTCTTCATCAACACTATACTCTCACCTTAACCTCTCTTCCAATCTTCTCCGTCTTTATAACAACCTCTCTTCCCATAACCCTTCACTACCTGGAATCCAAATCCAATCCAATCCAACAAGTTTTTCTTTTGGAGATATTAAGGTAACAAACATAGTACATCAACCATGATCAAAACCTTAAATCCTTACCCAAATCCAGCTAAAACAGCTGAGATTATGTCAAGGTATAGACCTATTGCACCAAAGCCAGAAACATTATCAAGTAACAACTCAATGAGTGATGGATCTTCTTCATCTAACTCACTTTCTCATAAACTCAAACAATCTCCTTATCTTAGGAATCTTTGGCCACAGTTACAAGCAAGACCCACAAGGACAAGGAAACGAGGTAGAGCTCCTATTTCACTACCTTCTTCTTTGAAGAGACAAAAAACACATGTCTTAGGTTTCTGTCAACCTTTGCATGTAACATCTCCAATGAAAAACCTTTCTTTACAAGGTAATCATTTTGTTCCTCCTACTTCACTTCCTCAACTATCTCATCCAAATCATGGAATTGGAGTTCTCAATTCCAATCATTTGGAGAAAAATCTTAATTTGGTTACACTCCCTCTTCTTCCTTGTTCTCCTAATTCTCCTAATTCATCACCTCATCATAATAATAATGCATCCAAAATTGAATTAGAGGTGATAGATTTGAACAAAACCAAAGGTGAAATTCCACAAGAGATAGACCTCTTGCAACAGCTTCAAAAACCAGCTTCTAGCTCCTCCAACAATGTCATAAATGTAATTGCGCCGCAACCGATTCGACCTATAGGTTCATGCATTAGTGTTGGTTGCATTAACATTAATCAAGTTTCAAAAAAACCATCTTTGACACAACAAAAACCTAAAAAATCAGAGGAATTGGAACAAGAGGTTGAGTCAGAGGAATTGCCAGCTGTGATATCAGATTCAAACAACAGAGTTAGGATGGTAAATTCAGCATACAAACAAATGGTGGGTCAACCAGAATGTCCATGGCTAGAAGTTCAATGTGGTCCATCATCCTCATGCAAGAGGATTAGTGGTGGGGTAACATTGCAAATCTCAGATTCTTCAATTATACCAATTATTTCTTCAAATGGGTTTTCTTGTTGGGTGAGGATTGAATGGGAAAATAATGGAAACAAGAAAAACTGTGTGAATGCTTTTTGTGATGTTGTGCGCTTGTCTTGTGATCAATCAAGGGACTATGTTTTCACATGGAGGTTTCATACTCGTTCTCAATCCAGTTGTAATGCATGAAAATTGAAACTTTGCACATAGTTTGTTTGGACTAGTGTAATCTATAGTATCAGTAATTAATTTCTTGTCTCTTAGCTAGCTGTAGATAAACTACTATATATGTGTATATACTATTAGGCACCATGTATAGCTTTCTTTACTTTACTTTCATGTGTAACTCCTTGTGCTAAAATTTATGTATATGTATGAAGGAGAAGCTATTTAGCTACTTTATAATTAGTTTAAACTTATTACATTATTCAATCAAGAGTTTCATATTAGATATTTGGGTCACTCTGAGCCAACTGATATCATATTTTTGTTTGTTTCTAGCTTGCACTATGACATGATCAAAAGGTCACAAAATTTGGGAGGGTAGGATGCTAAACAGTAACACTATTTTGGCCCTTAAACATTTAAAGTAGTCTATTCATATTAGTTAAGGTTGCAAGTGATTACTATTGATGAATGTAAGATCAAATGTGGACGCAACTTGCCTATATTAACTTTTTTAGCGGTATTCGGTGTTCATCCAAGGAATTTTGAGGAGAAAAATGAGTCAAAATGATGAAAAGGTTATGTGCGTCATATTTTCATGATTCCCTTTCCCGAAGCGGCGAGAGAGCAATAAAGTTTTTTGTTTTGTTCATAAAATTAGTATTGGATATATTAAATGTAGTTAATATTTTAGATTTTAGTAAAAATATTAATTTTATTAAATTTAATGAAATGTTGGAAAATGAAATATTAAGATTTACAGTATTAAATAATGTAATAATAATTTATTTTTATTTATAATGACTAAAAATTGAATTATTTTTGTTGTTTAGGAGGGTGTGCAGTACTAATACTAATAAAGTTTTCAATAAAACAAATGGAAGAATATTTTTCTCTTTTTATAATGTTGATGAGAAAAACACATTTAAAGTAAGCTTCACATGTGACCACGGAGCAGAAATGAAGAATGGTTTATGAGACATGTTTTGTTCAATGGATACTCTTCCATTCATGTAAAACAATTATATATTAAAAAGTCTGATTAATGTTCCTTAAGCTAACATAATTGGTATATAGTCAGAAATGGACATACATACATATTTCGAATTTACTTTTTTATTTTAATATAACATCTAATATATTATTTATGATTTTTCTTTCTTTCTATTCTTTTAATTTCGTATTTCTAAGATTTTTTTTTTTTGTAAAATAACTAGTATATCATTTCATTTTTTGTAATAATTGTATTTTTTATATAGTGGGAAATGGTCAAAATGTCTGTACAATAGTTTATATATTTAACTTTTTTTTTACTTTTTAAACTGCACATCATTTTTTCTCTTTCACCTAATAATTTAACATTCATTTAACTTTTATTCACTACAATAATTTTATTTAATAAAATTCAACACCTTATCCATCACTTTTATTTCATATTCTTATTTTTTTTTATATATTTTTTTAATAAATATAATTTTTTTGTCTAAATCAATAAAAAAATGATGTGGTAAAAATAAAAATAAATACAAAATTGATTTACGATAAAATATTTAAACTCAAATAATTAAGATGAGATAAAATTTTAAATATTCACGGTGACTAGGAATGGTAAAACGGGTACGGTCTATTAAGCATGTCTGTTTTACCCGCACTTTAGTACGGAACGGATCAAAAATTTAGACCTTTACCCTCTAATGTAATTGTTCTATCCCACTCCGTTTTCTTCGCGGACTTTTGCGAACATGATTATTAACATAAAATTTTATATTTTTTGACTTAAAAGGTATAGTGCCTGCGAGTTTTTCCTGCCCCGTATTCACTTTTTTTTTGCGGAGCGAGCCTAAGTTTTAGACTCTCATCCTCAATTATGATCGCTTCGCTCCGCCTCATTTTTTGTAGGCTTTTTTGGGATAGGCTTAAATGGAGCGGACATGTACGTTTGCCACTTTTAACAACAACCAATAAGATTTTATAAAATATTTCATGTGACTCCACTCCCTACTCATTCAACATATTGAATATTTTCAACACCAATTAATACACCTCACTTTCAACGTTCAATTCAATATCCTATTATAACAATTCAACTATTTAACAATTTTTCAACATTCCATTATACATAGTCTAATTTGGATCGGAGATAATATCTGATTAATATCAAAGAAAATTGACTCAATTGATAAGGAGTTGACTCACACACTAAAAAGTCGTGAGGACATTCTTGGTAGGTGAGCATACTTTTTTTCTCTATTTATTTTATACGAATACAATTAAATTGTAATTTGTGTATATATGTGTATTATTGAGTATTGATTTTTATATATTAAAATAATTTCACAGTATTATTGATATCCAAATTAATAAAAGTACAATTTAATAAATTGATTTTAGAGTTTAAAGATTGTCCATTGTCAATATAAAATAATTTGACACATATAATTAATTAAGATTCTTATATTTTCCATGTCGTTTTAATATTTTAAAAATAACAAATATAATTTATTGTGATACATGTTTCTCAATTATTAATAATATAAAAATATTTTATATTATTAATATATATTTTCTCTCTTGATTTTAATCCAAACATAAAATAATTGAACAAATTTAATTAACTTAGATTGAATTATCAAAAATTTCAAATTATTAATTTAATTAAAAACATTTTTTAAAAAAGAAATTGTTGATTTATAATTAAAAACTCGTTGTATTCTTAAAAAAATTATGAACGGGTTATTTTCTTAACTTGTGCAATAAACTTATTTTTTATTAAAAATAAATGCTATTTAGTCATTCAAATTACTAGAGTACATCGTTGCAATACAAAATCAAAATCACCAAAAACCAAAAGAATGAATCTGTGAACAAACTCATAACATTCATGTTAATAGCATAAAATAACAAATTGCATAAGCCTACAAATATGAATATGATTGTATTGAAATATCTAAAATATTCATACCTTCAGATCTGTAGCCTTAATGGCACAACAATCATAGATTAGATATGCACTAGATCGAAACTAATCTTTCAACCTGAAACAAATGAACACCGCACAAAGACGAGAAAATAAAATGCACCGCACAAACGGAAAGAAAAAAAAACATTGACGCACTAAAATGATGAAATCATAAAAAAACAAAAGAAACACTAACTATATGTGAAAATCACTTATTTAACTAATAGAGAAACATAAACTATTTAGAGGGATGATTTTTTGATCAAAATTGATCCTAAATCACCCCTCTCTAAGAGATAAAGAAGACGAAGAAAAGTGACGACAACTAGGATTAAAGGAGGAGGAGATTGCCACACCCAGCAAATAATAACATTGTGTGATAAACTTAAAAATCATAAATATAAAACTGATAAACTGCTCGGTTCCTATTGAATTTCAGATTAATTTTTCATATTTTTTATATTTTTATACTTATTTTTTTATTAAATATAATATATTGAGTTAATTTATTATTTAATAATAGGTATTTTTTAATCATATTTATTAATTTAATTTTATTAATTAAATTTAATCTATTTTTTTAATTATTTCATTTATTTCAACTATAATCGATCACATATTAATTTTTAGTACAAAAAAAATGTTATATATTATATCTAATATATATTTTATTATAACTTTTATAATATTAATAAAAAATATAATTTGTAATTTGGATATCCAAAAATTAATTCAAATTAAACCGTATAAAATTGAATCAGATCGGATCAGATTTTTTAATCAATCATTCAAAATGAATTGAAACACGCCTAAATTTATATTTAGATCAGATGATTGTTTATCTCAAAACTGATCCAAATCGCACCATTTACATCCCTACCTATAAAGTTAGCACTCCAACACCCAAGTTAATGAGTGAACAAAAAGGGATAGCGTGAATTATGATCAAAATCATACCTTTTCTTGAATAAGTGGGGTTTATATATGGTAGATGGTAATCAGGATTATGCAGTCTTCGGCTTATGCCCGATCCAAGATAATTGTTTCCAAGACTTGTCGTGGCTTAGTGTATGGGAAGCCTTTCAAAAATAGGGACAAGTCTTCTATCTGGGAATTTTTTATATGGAGAAGTGAAAGAGATCTAAGGAACAAGTGTATTATTAAATGCCAATTTCATCATTGAGATGTTTCATAAGATTTCTTTACACATTGCCATTGGTTCATATGTTAGGGCAAGGTGCTTATGCCTAGAATACTCAAGTGTACTCAAGCATTGTTATATTTTTATGGTGGAATATGACTGTTGTTATTCATCTTCCCATTTTATTTTATTTTAGGTCATTGATTTATCTTTTTTACTTTACTATATAAGGATTATTTTAGTCTTTTAAATGATTTTAATCTCTCTTTCAAACTGGTATTTACTTTTCTCTCTATAAGTTCTTTCTTTCTCCTCTAAGCTTCAATGATTTTTGATTCCACTGTCTTCTCTTTCTGTTTGGATTCTATGTTCTTTGATTCATTATCATATATGCATTTCACTTGCTCTTAATCGTTTATTAGCTTCATTTCATTTCCATGTACCATTTATCTTCTTATTTCTCACATTTTATTGTCTTTTATTCATTCATTCTTGTAATGGAACATAGAGAGGATATACCTACAAACATGATAAACAATTTTGATAGTGGTGATCTTTCATCATCCATTGGAATTGAAAACCCAAATGTTCAAAATGTTAAATCTTTAGAGATTAATTGACCCAATCCCAATCTTATCGTACTTAGCGATAGTTGTGGGTATGGTGTGGGTTCTATTGAAAATGGTGACAAACCCTGTAGTGGCTCTTCTGACAAGAGTATCAGTGAGCCTTCTCAAGAGGATGAATGGTTGAATTATGATAATTCTATTACAATAGTTGTACTTGTTGGTCCTTCTTATTCTACTACTCCACCTCTTTAAGATTCTATTACTCGTTACTTCGGGAGATATTTTAGGGTTGTGAATGGTCAAGACCTTACTGACAAACAGGGATCATTTTAGTTTTCAAAACCATTATGCAGTT